GAGGATAAATGGAGTCGCGCTGCGGTGGTGTACGCGATTCATTTTCATTAGATGCCGGCTCCCCGACCCCCCGACTCTCGGTCCCCGCCGAAAGCGATTTAACCAACTTGGATTACTCTCGCTAAACGAATGAGGAGCGCCTTTATCACGTAGAATATAACTCCGGGCCCTCGTCTCCGAGTGACGTCACACTTCGGGCGCGGCGCGTGTTGCCTACGCCCGCAAATGAAGGGGCACCCGTATCTAGAGTCCCTTTTAAACTGAGAGTTGAGACGACACCCCCTCGTGGAGTCACAAACGGGACTAAAGATTACGCAAATTCAACGTTTTTCGTAATCTTTGATCGGCTCATTCTCAAATTCCCTTCTCCGTTCCTTCTCTCATGCTGTTTGTTCCTTGTCCAACCCGTAATTCCTAGGTCCATTCCAGATTATAATCTCTGCAATCGTTGAAAATGTAATCTTTATTCCCGTTCGTGACAGTGTGGAGGCCTAAAATACGGTAACCAATCAGAAATGGATTCAAATTGTCTTAACTCTCAGTACAAAGGGACTCTACTCGTAATTCGCTTTTCCCTGAAAATCCATGGATACTTGTCACGGAGACTTGATGTTTTGTCTCTCAGTGAGACGTATTTAAAGCAAGAGGACCCATAATCTACTCTAACTTGGGTCCTGAGACCCGTAAGGATACGTGTTAGACGGGTCTCATGTCACGGTGGATGTAATTCATTCCGATTTAAATAAACCCTTTCAAGAAATTGTATTTTCCCCTTAATTTTGAGCAACTTTGTGCTTAACAGTTTTCGTGGAAAATTTTTTCTGAGAAGTCAAGCCAAAAAAAAATTATCAAAAGTCAAGGAATTCTGTGTCCAAAAACCTTGAAAAGTTGGGGAAAAAGCAAGGAATTTTGGAATCCAGAGAAACTTGTCAGCCTGTAATTGATAACACTGGGAAAAAGTCTTCAATGGGGTTGCAGATTTTCAACTCGAAAATTTGGTCACCTCAACTCAAAGATTTGATCGATTCGACAGAGGGAAAGCTAACACAAAAATAATCAACCAACAGCTTGTGTTATCTCTTGTTTTACTACTTATATTAACACAAGATTTTGGTTACTTTTTCTCACTGTGTAAAAAGTCATGGAAAACCTAGGGAATTTTGAAATCCAAGAAAACTTATCACCCTGTTATACTTTGTCGGTTATATTTCATTCCATCGTGCCAATAAGAGAAAAACATTTAGAATCGTGGCCCGAACTGTGCGTAACAGCGTAACAAGGTGGTAAAATAGTGCTGGTTCCACACTATTTTGCGGGGAAAACAAGGCCAAAAAGTTCTAAAATTTCAATTGGAGACAAAAATGTTGAGCTTTAATGAGTACCAGTACAAGGCTAAAGATTGCCAGGCAGGTGCATCGGAATATTCTATCGCACTTAAAACTTTATTCCGCACGAGGAATTATGAACAAAGGATCATTTCAAAGCGTCCACTTATGTAAGAACTCAACGCCAAGATACGGAGTTACGTAACCTCCAAGTTTTTTCTCTTTTTCTCTGCGTGGAGCTTCGAGAATGGCAACTGGATCATTTCCTCGTTTCACTGACCAGTCTCAACTTACACCAAGAGTAGGATGGCGATAGTGCAAACGCAAAGGAATTTCACGAGTTGTAGGTTTTTCTCCAGTCTTGAGGGCTCGGCGCATTTTTGACGCTCGAAATTTGCATAGTTTGGCGACATTGCTCGCCGGGGGAAGGGGTGGGGGAGAAAGACGATGTAAACAATGGCCTTAATTTATTCATTAAGCTTGATGCGATGAGCCTTTACCGTCGAGGCAATGACATGATGTCATAGTTGCCAAGTTGGTTGCGTATTCCGCCGTGTGGATTTTTTGTCGAGTTGCGTCAAGCAAACTTCTGCGCTTTTGCCTTTTTTTTCTACGAGCTATCTGGTTTCTATTCCGTTAGAAACGGAATAGAAACCCACAACTACCTGGATGTTAAGTGTCCTCAGACGCTAGGTCAGGGAGTGGCATATTTATGTTCAGGGTGTCTACAAATCAGGAATTTCCGGAAAGTTCGGAAATAGTACTGATTTTTCAAGTGCGGTCTGGAAGTACTGAAAAAGTGCGGAAATTTTGCAAGAAAGTTCGGATTTTTTTTGCATTTTTCTCGCAATTTGAGGGGGAAATTCAAATTTTTGAAATGTTTCGAATTTCGTCAGTCTAAGGTATTGAAAAAATACTGAATTTTTGTGGAGGAGGT